AATCATGCGGCCAGAGCACTGAGAGCATCCAGAGCTTACTGGGAGACAAGTGGGAGACAAATGGGAGACAAGCTAAAAATCATGCGGCCAGCGCTCAGAGCATCCAGAGCTTACTGGGAGACAAGTGGGAGACAAGTTTGAAATCATGCGGCCAGAGCACTCAGAGCATCCAGAGCTTACTCGGAGACAAGTGGGAGACAAATGGGAGACAAGTGTGAAATCATGCGGCCAAGCACTCAGAGCATCCAGAGCATGCGGCCAGAGCACTGAGAGCATCGAGAGCTTACTGGGAGACAAGTGGGAGACAAATGGGAGACAAGTATAAAATCATGCGGCCAGAGCACTGAGAGCATCCAGAGCTTACTCGGAGACAAGTGGGAGAGAGGTGTGAAATCATAGCACTCAGAGCATCCAGAGCTCACTGTGAGACAAGTGGGAGACAAATGGGAGACAAGCGTGACTAGGAGACAAGTGGGAGACAAGTGGGAGACAAGGGTGAAATCATGCGGCCAGGAACACAAGCCCGGAGACAAACTCAAAATCATCCGGCCCGAGCACGCACCCCTTTAAAAGGAGTAAGAACCCCTCACAGGTAAACCTGTTTGGGGAAAAATATATATATATACATATATGTGCCTGTGTGTGTTCAGGTCAAAGGCCCACTTGCGCAAGCCCTCGCGATGCCAGGCATGTTGCCAGGTATGTCCACAGACCGTCTTCAAGCCCAGTGCCAAAGGGTCAGAGGCTCATGTCCAGCTTCAAGTTTTCAGTGACATCGGTGATTGCCAAGGTGCACTTGTCCTTGGCCTTCTCGGTCTTCTTGGTCTTGAGGCGGGCTCCACGCAATGTCGACCACCCAAGCATCCTAGTGAAGACGTGGGGAGGCAGGTTGGACCTGCCATACATGGACCACAGCAAACCTTGTAATATGAACTGTCTGTGTGCACGTACCCGGGCATCTCTCCCATGCAAGCAATGCAAGTTTGATGGATGGGTTGTCCGCTTTGTGCAGGATCGGCCACGTTCTGCGCGCACAAAACAAAGAGTGAGACATGTGAGTGCAGCCCTGTCAGCGGGAGAGTACGGCCGGCTACTCAGCTGGAGTGATCCGAAGGTGAGGCGAATCAAGATTGCACTGCACAATGGAAAGTGTTTCCGCAATTTTGGGCACGTTTCTTTGCTTTTGTGTTTGGGTCAGGATAATTCTTGTTGTGCCCAGTTCTTTGCGATTGTTTTCATCACCGTTTTCGCCAGGAAAAAAACTGCAGCAACTGCTTGCAACGCAAAATAGACAAGTGCTTGATGAAAGGAAAAAAATGGTGGATGCCGAATCGATCGTTCCCAAAAAGGTGGTCAGGCGCTTTGCACGTCAAAAGGTCAAATGGCGACGTGCAAAGTTCGACAAAAAACTGTCGTTTGCCGAAGCTGGGCCGTGCTTCGCTCCCATGCCACTTTGCCAGCGTTCCCATGTCAACTCTTCGTTCCCAAGTTGCGTTAAGATCGCTTGGCATTTCGACCTTCGAGGTCTGCCACCCAAACTGGCGGCAATGGCTAGTGCTCTCTCGGCCTTGCCTAATGACCGCATGCGCAGCAGCCCCGGCGGCCCCAGTGGCGCTCAAAAAGCAAACCGCAAAAAGCAAACCGTTCTGAGGATACCAGCAGCTAATGGCACTGGCTGGAAAGTGGTGACCCCGGATCAGTTCCCAAAGAGTTTCTCATTCCGGACAGAAGTGCAGCAAGCTCACCATAAAATGTGTATGCTGATACTTTGATCATGTTTGATCATTTTTTAGCACAAATTTTGTTTGAGGATTGTCTCGAAACGCAGGCTGAAAGCAATGCCGGATGACTTGAAGGTTCCCGAGAACAAGGTCCCAGGTTGCTTGAGCGTCGTGCATGCTCGGGGCACTCAGCATCGGCATGTGGAGACGAGCGGGAACGAGGGACGCTACTAGGAGCAAGGGCATCGCTACTAGGAACAAAGGACGCTACTAACAACTCAAGGAGCAAGGGACGCAAACATGGAGCAAAGAAAAAATGAAACGTTCACATTATGATGTGTTTTTGGGTTTGTTCTAGGTTCAAATAAACTTGAAAAAGAAAAACAATAAAAAGGCAAAACCAACCCAAAGGAAAAATGCAAACAAGACACGCACTGCCTAACAAAATGCAAAAAACATGCAACCCCAGGTGCAAGCTCTCTGAGGTGACAACCACTGACCAAAAGAAGAATTGGCTGTTCAATCTTAAACACACTGTGAACGGTTCACAGCGCAATCCGCATGCACAGCTCGGGGTACCAAGGTCAGTGCATCGCTGGAAGAAGATGGTACCGTGACCTTTCAGGGCGACTCTGATGCTTTGATCTCCAAAGGTGCCAAGCTTGCATTTTCGTTATTTTAAAGGATATGCTTTCTGCCTACTTTGCTCTTTGAATCCTTTCTGTTGAAAGAGAAGTGATGGCCGTTTTTGTCATCGATAAGCCAGTGTTAAATTGAGGCTCTTTACGACATTTCCACGCTGCCAGGCTTAGTGGCTCTCCTGGTGCTATGTTTGAGCGGCTGCACGCCCCAGGAGATTGCGAGTGTCAAGCCGGAATTCATCAAGGCCGACAACCTGCCACTCGGGCCTAGACAGTGAGAGCACATGGTGAACAAATAGATTTGTGATGTCTGAGTAGCAAGACAGACTTGGCTGACTTGGATAACTTTTGGGATGTTATCCATCAACTCTTTTCCTTGAAGAAGCTTCGCAGGCCTCGGGTATCTCTGCGGCATTGACTCCGGGGCGGAACAACGGCTTCTTCAACATGCCCGGCACACAAGCAATGCAGCATTTTGCTGGCAATTTAGCTGAGATAGCCAATGCGGATGTTTCTTCGAACAAAGCAGATGCGGTTGAACTGTTCGAGGACACGATCTCCAATTAAGATACTGTGGCATGTTCGATGTTCCATTTTGATCCATTTTGTGAAATGCTCGTCGTAGATGCCGCACCTGCTCAAGGTTCAAGCTCATGAACCAGAAAGTCGCGATGCTGGCAAGTCCAAAGGAGGCAAGCTGCAAGTGATGCACTTGTGACGAACCCAAACTCTCATAGGCTGTAGAAATGTTTTATGCACTTTGCTCCGCGTTGGCCCGTGTTTGATACCCGCATGTTCTAAATTGCGCATGGAAACGGAGAAATCGGAGACTTCAGCGAGCATCCTCAGAGGATGGCTCAAATGACGTCGAATTAGTGTTGACGTGAGAATGCAAAGCGATTTGAGCGATGTGTTCTTTCGGTGAGATCTGTAGAAACTCTTTGGCTCGTTTTCACCCCGTGACTAAGCTCGCACGTTTGAGGAGACGGAGGTCGAGGCGCTACAAATCTATAACACGCTGGGTGCCAAGATCTTCCGCACTGGCTTCTAGCAGACAGAAGTCCGTTCAAGGTTATCCGGCAGACTTTGGCACCAAAGTGAACGCCTGTTGTTAGCATGATGTAGAGGCATTCTTTGGTATTTGAAAAGACACTTGCAGCATGTCATATTATACCAGAACTGTTTGCTAGAACCAAAACAGAAATGTGTTGAATGTCCCGCCTGGTCGCCTTAAACTCCAAAGCCCGACGAGGCTCAGTCGGAAAAAGGAACTGTTTGGAGCTTAAAGCGTCGGCTCAGCTGAAGGTTGAAACGAGATGCAACACGTATGTGTAGCAAGTGTATTGATCGCTGTTGTACGCTACACGCGGCGGTTTCGGCCAAGCTTTACGCTGAGGTTCAAGACATTGGAGCCTGGAGTGGTGAAGATGTATGTTTGTTTGGGTCTACAGACTGAGACCGACGACATGTTTCAATATAAGCGTCCGTAGCCAAAGAGTGGGACTGAAGTGACTGAAGCTGTGAAACATGTCCTGCAAATTATCCTGTTGTTTTTGTTCTTGTTGTTCTTGTTGTTCTTGTTGTTATTCTTCTTCTTCTTCTTCTTGTTGTTGTTGTTGTTCTGTCTTTTCTGTTTTATGTGTTTAGCCCGCTCCTACTTAGTTAAGTAAGGCAGTAGTTCGCTCCTAGCTAGGGCCCAGGATAGCTGCGGGGTGAGCTTCCTTGAAGAAGCGCTCGCACTAGCGATTTGGTTCCTAGAATTTGGGGGAAACTTAACTGATAGGCAATCCATCAGCAGTAATTTGAGAGCCCAAGAGCTGCTTAAAGTTTGGAGACTCAACTTCTGACATCATTCTTGACGTTAGGGTTGAACGTGGTCGTACTGAGGTGGTGTCACAGTCTATGATCTTTGCCATTTAGGTGGGTTCGGAATTGCGGAACCCATCATCGAGATCCATGAAATCCATGAATCATGAAATCATCTTCCTTTCAGCGTTTGTACTGAGCAGCTGCATGAGCAATCGCCATCAAAACCGTGGTGTTTTGCGGTGTGATGGTGCTTCTATTTGCTGCCTAAACAGCGAACGGCGAAAGACGTCCCAGGCCACGCTCGAGTCATGGTCTTCTTTGACATCGTTGCCCGCTTTCTGAGGACGGAGTTTCCCCCATCTGGGGGAGTCCCTACGGGACGAGTCCGGGAGACTTTTCTAGTAGCAAACATTGTTACTACTAGTAAGGCACCTGTTACTAGTAGCGTGGCACTTGTTACTAATAGCTTCTTGTTACTAGTCTTCTGGACGAGTCCGGGAGACTTCTCATTTCTCAGACGAAAGTCCGTCTCGCTTGCATCCGCTTGCGTTTTTGGGGTGCCCGGCCAGGCACAGGGGCTACAAGGTCACTTTTGTCCGCAATGTCACAGACATTGAAGCTCTGTTAGAATTGGGTGGCCTTCGGCTTCGGCCTTTGAGAATGCGGTCTTGTATTGTTTTGATTTTGTTTAGGATGACAAAATCATCAAGAGAAGTCAAGAAGCCGGTGTAACGGTGTAGTCCTCAGATCCGATGAAGGATACGTTTTGCTCCTGCTCAATTAAGTAGGCGCCTACTTAATTAAGAAAGGGAGTAAGCTACTAGCCACTTAAGCTACTACATGTGGACTCGGGATAGCTCACGCACTAAGTTTGCCCCGGTTTGCTGAAGCTTTTCTTCTTGGCGCTCTTGGTTTTCCGAGGCACAAGATTTGGCAAGAAGGTGCATTTTTCGGCGAACAAACTCCGGACGAACATGCCAGCCAAGCCTGACTCTTTTCGTGGCACCAGCACCTAGAGGGACCTAGAGGGACCTGGAGGCCTAGGCAGACCATGGCAGACCTGCGCTGATGCATGCAGTGCCAGTGCAGGATGGAGGAAGAGATGGCACTGGACGCACAAAGCTGCCCGGCTCAATCGGCTGGCGGCAAATGAGCTTCTTGAGCTTTCGCTATGCTTCGGGTTTGCTTCGGTTTGAGTTCGGAACACCCCTCCTGAGAGATTTGAGGCCTGGGTTGTACGCCGCCGGACTTTGAACCGTCTCTCGGAAGCAGAGCATCGCAGAGCTATGCAGAGCTTCCGAGTGGCGCAGTAAGCCAACCTAATAGCAAACTATAGTAGAGCTTCCTTCTTTTTCTGTTTTCTTGCTCAATGGCCTCCAACCTAATAGCCACCACTAGGCCCCTGGCCGCGAAGCCGCTGAGGAGGGTCTCCGAGTCCATGGAGGAGATCACAGAAATGGTTGGTCCGAGCGTCGGCGCAAGATGTTTGTTTCCAAAACTGAATAGTTTCTCTTTTCACAATATCTTGCAAATGATCCGGCTCTTTTTCAGAATGGGATGCTTCATTCTTTTTTTTTTGCCAAGCAAATTGAAAACGAGTAGCACCTGGCCAGCTGGGTTGTAATCAGTCGATTGAAACTTTTGTTGTGAATTACATACTCTAGTGCTGGCCAGCAATTAGTTTGGAGGCCATCGCTAGTAGGTTGGAGCAGTTGGAGGCCATTGCTAATACAAGCAAAGAAAAAGATAATGTAGATATTTTTTGCATGTTTGTCCATTCTTGCTTTGGGCTGCCGGGGTGGAACATGCTTTCATGTTACAGTCTGTCTAAGATACGCTGGTGAAGGAAGACTTTGCATATGCCGGAAAGGCCAGGCGACTGTCACCGGATCAGCTTTGAGGCTGTGAGAGATTCGAAGTTCAGCTCTTTCCAGTGCTACTTTGGCTTTAAGAAGCTACTATGCTTTATCACTTCCAGCTTCCTTCTTCGTGCTTCTTCGTGCGCAGTGCTTCGCTTCGCCAGGGCGATGTGTACTTCCGGGTGCGGCGCTTTGAGAGTTACGGACGCCTGTCCAGGTGCGGTCCGGGTGCGAGAGTCACACCGTGGCGTTTTGTTTCTTCCATGCCTCTCTCTCCGTGGCGTTTTGTTTGCAGAGAAAGAGAGAGAAAGAAAAAAACAAACATTGACCGCCTACAACAAACGATCCTGGTGAGCTCCAACACTGGGCACCAACAAACACCGCAACAGGCAGCAGAAGGAGGCTTGATCTTGAGACATCGGGGTACTTCCTCAACACACCCACACACAAAAAAACAAACACACACTTAGATGGTTGCTCGCAAGAGCTAGGTTCAGAGTGAAGTCCCCCTTGACTTGAAGAAACGGAAAGGTGCACGAACCGAAAGGCAAAGAAGTCCGTATAGTTGAAGGTGTTTAACTATTTGTTTCGGTGCATTAGCCGCTAACTGCAAAACACAGGATTAGACAGCTTGGTCAACAGTTCAATTGAGTAAACCGTCGCAGCTACACACCAGGACGTCTCCGGATGCATCACCAGAGAATGTGGACGTCTTCGTTGGCAGTGATTCCACAAACCCTGTCACTGCCCCCTGCTGGAAGAATGGTGGTGAAACATGGGTATGGAGAGACCTTAGAGACAGGTGGTGACACACACAAAAGGCCGTGATCGGCGCTCCCTGTGATGGATTGGGCACGGTAATGCGGGGGAAGCGGGGGAACAAAGGGTGGCCGGAACATGCAGCTGGTCTTTTCAAGTACTGGCTGACATAGGTGAAGATCATGTCCTTTTTCAACTTCCAGTTTCGCTAGTTGAGCGAGCGCTCACGCCTGCAGGTGGAGTGAAGGGGAAATTGCCCCCTACTGGTCCCAAGATTGCAAGCAATTAGCAATACTAGGAGCCCTCAGTAGCGCCCTTTCTCCTCATAGTACGGCCAGGAACCTGCAGTGGTAGCGTCCTTGCTTTGGGTAGCGAAGCCCGGAGCGCCTAGTAGCGTCCTTCATGTCTCAAAACCTTAGGTACACACACAAGCGCAAAACCCTCTCGGCGCGCTCTTTTTGACTTCGCGGATGGGGGGAGGAGAAAGGTGCAAGGGTTGCAGGGGAGGGGTTGTGGGGGTTGGTGCGCTCGCTTGACTGAAAATGCCTCATCAGAGCTCCCTTGCTGAATCCCATGCTTGCAGGCTAATAGCAATACCAAGAGCCCTTAGTAGCGTCCTTACCCCTCATAGTACGGCCAGGAACCTGCAGTGGTCTCACCCTTGCTTTCGGTAGCGAAGCCCGGAGCCCCTAGTAGCGTCCTTCATGACTCAAAAACCTTAGGCACATACACAAGCACAACACTCACTCGCGTTTCTCGCTCTCTTCCGGCCTGTGAATACTCAGCCGTATGACATGTACATGTGAATACTTAGCAGCGTGCGAGAATCCTGACTGGAGTTCGATCTCAGTAAGCCCTGCGGCATAGTATCAGTGGTATCGTGCATAACAGTCGATCAAGGGGTTGCAGAACGAAGTCCCAGTGCAGAGACGGAGCAATCAAGGTAGGTCGCCCAGGATCTGGGTCTATGCACATGCTGCGCCCCTCGATGGGGATCACACCACAACCCTCAGTGGGACTCTGTGGCGACACACACTTAGATGGTTGCTCGCAAGAGCTAGGTTCAGAGTGAAGTCCCCCTTGACTTGAAGAAACGGAAAAGTGCACGAACCGAAAGGCAAAGAAGTCCGTATAGTTGAAGGTGTTTAACTATTTGCTTCGGTGCATTGGCCGCTAACTGCAAAAGACAGGATTAGACAGCTTGGTCAACAGTTCAATTGAGTAAACCGTCGCAGGTACACACCAGGACGTCTCCCGATGCATCACCAGAGAATGAGGACGTCTTCGTTGGCAGTGATTCCACAAACTCTGTCACTGCCCCCTGCTGGAAGAATGGTGGTGAAACATGGGTATGGAGAGACCTTAGAGACAGGTGGTGACACACACACATAAAATATATATATATATATAAATATACATACACGCACGCACACATCACAATTGTGGACGCAGACGACCGGAAGAAGCAGGAGGACTTGACTAGCGACTAGCAAACAGTGCACAGATACAAGACAAGCTACGTCTGCCAATGAGGGTAACAACGCAACAGAAGTGGTCTACAAATTCCAGGTCCACGCCACGGGACTGAAGCGCACCAGGTGGTCCCAAGTAGGTGGGGAACGTCACATTATGGCTGCACGAGCGAGAAGGAGAAGAGAAGAGATAATTATCAACAGACCAACCTTCCATCTCAGTACCAAAGGACGAGCAACAGCACTATGCAGGAATTGAAATCTATCGTCAGCAGATCTATCGTCAGTTGACGATCAGGTTATTCACTACCAACAGAAACCAGGGGCATTGGCCTAGTTTTGCCACCTGATAACATTGAGATTGCAAGCAACATTTGAGCAACTTCGAGGATAGGGGCGGAGTATGAGCTTCAACCAGTAAACAGGATCAGTAAGGGTCAAAAAGTCCTCCAGATCTAACACGGCATTTTGAAACTGAAAAACAAATTGTGGAAAATAAATAATTCTATAATACAATATATTACAATGAAAGGGAAATAAAGGGCACAAGACCCCCTATCAACTGCACAAGGGCGCGACAGCACAGGACACACAATTCAACACGGAAGGAAAAAACAGACGGAAAGGTAATTAAACTCCAAGACCTTATGCATAGCAGCACACACTAACAGTGGAGGCCAACAGACAATGACAATTGTTGGCACAACGCAGACATTGGAGCCAACGGAAACAGGTAGAAACAGCAGGGGCACCAAAAGTCGCAACACTGCTTGCATTGCTTGCCCCAGCATAGGATACAGCACAAACAGCAAACGCCATGCCAATGCACAACAACACAGACTCACTACATCTCAGGAGCAGATCTGGTTCCGGCACTCAAAATGGAGCAATCAACAAGAGGCGTACATGGGCCAGTGGCTCCCGCCGCTCCCGCCCTCAACATGAGAACGGAGCACAGAAGCAGATGATGGAGCACAACAGCATGATAGCACGTCAAACTGATGGTCGACTGTGGAGCAGCGACGCGTTTGTCCTCAACCATTTGCGCTCTGCGTTGCATATGGAGAAGGACGCTCTACGGCCACAAGTGGGCTTACACAAACTAAGCAGTTGCGCAGTTGCCATTCCCGATTGACGAAACAGCTTCAGAGGTTGGACAGCGCGTTGCAATTCGCATGCCGCTACGAAAGAAATTGCTCGAAAGGTCCACACTGCAAGGGCTTGAACCGCGCAATTTTTTGGGCGGCAAAGATCAGTGTGGGAAAAATGAGCCGCAGGAACGCTTGAAGATTTTTTCTGATTCGCACACGCAGGTTCCAACGCAAGTCGCAAATCAAGGTCAGCTGGAGCATTGTTTCACATGGATCTGGATCCCACTTGAAGATTAGAATTTCCAAACACGTGACACTGTCTACTGGCGAATCTGAGTTCTACTCTGGCGATCGGGCTGGGTCATTGTTAGACGGGATTACAGTGATGCAAGGCGACTCAGTTCGCGATTGCCAAAGTGCTGAGCAAAGCCAAGCGTCAAAAAAACAAAACAGCGCAATCCGCCGCCTAAGTGCAAACCAAGGACTGAGCAGGCATTTGGCCGGCATTTGCTTCGGAAGGAGCCAGATGAGTTTTGGGCCGGGCCGGGTAAGTCTCCCCACCATGTGCTCAAACCGCCAATTCTGAATTCACCGATTTGAACATCGACGTCTGCCATCCTGCCAGAATGCGCTTGGAACTCCCCACCTCCCTTTATGATCTTTATGGAACTGCACAAAGTCGTGATATTTGGAGGAGGAAGGAAGATGCAGGAAGGGTAGTTAAGCGGTGAAAATGAGCTTGTCCTGCTTTAACGGGTAGGCATTCAAGTCCTCAAAACTGTGGCTCGCCCAGGTGTAGTTTGGACGGAAATGAAGCCGGTGCCCGTGTGGAGGCGGTGCCGTGGTTGTCGCACCTTGGAAGAGAGGCAGTGACGGATCGAAACGAAAATTCCTCCAGGTCGCAGATGTGAAGGAAGCACCTGAGGACTTTGTATTGTGGAAATCTGCAAAGCCTTCGGAACCATCTTGGCCTTCGCCTTGGGGGTCAGGGGCCTCAGGGCCCAGAGGCCAAAAAGAATGACAAGTACAAACACGATGTCACGCAAGTGATCCAGATATTACAATCATCCAGATGAAATGATTTTCTATGGATTCATATTCAAAACATGCCGTTTCCACTGAGTCCTGGCCGGCCTGGGTGGCACATCGAATGCAGTGACGGGTTCTTGGTCGACTGCATTGTGATGCAACTTTGGGTTTAAAGCGTCCCATGTCCGAGCTTGACGAAGGTTGACTTTGTCAGATCTCTCACAATCCTTCTTGGGGCGCAATTCGTTTTGTTTTCCGTGTCACCGTGTCATCCCATCAAAAGTTGTTCTCCCAGCATGCCCCACTCCACAACCCATTTGAGCCCAGCACCACACAAGGAACGCATTCGCACGCACAGCAAGGGACAGAAGTCAAACATGAGTTCCATGGGACAGGCACTCGCAGCATAGTTGCCATCGGAGTTATTTTTGCTGATGCCCCCATTCAAGCCACGGCTACGTCACAGGATATCACAGGTATGTGAATCCGAAACGAAGGCCATGGCCAAGAAGTACTTGGGCACAACCCTTGACATCCACGGAGGTGGGTCCCGAAGCCCAGAAGGAAACAAAACTGAAACCTTTAGACTGGAGACCAGGTTTTGTCATCGTGTGTTTTTTGTTTCGGGTGTTTGCCATGCGAGGCCAGATTTGGTGTTCCCCCACCATGAGAACGAGATCGCGCAAAGCCGCTCGACAAGTTCTTGGATTTCATGATTGCACCGCAAGGGACAGCCACTCGTGAAAGCTATTTCGTGTCGAGGTGAGGCTGCCAATGGGGAGACCTACGTGAAGACATGGATGCATTGCGCTGCTGTGTACGGGACTCCAGAGAGTGCATAAGAATGCTAACTTTCATGCTATATGCATCCTTGCTCCTAGTAGCGATGCCGGGAGCCCCTACAGTAATAGTTCCTTGCTCCTAGTAGTAAGGCCAGGAGCCCCTAGTAGCGTCCTTGCTCCTACAGTTTCACAGTTTGGGAATAGCTTCAACTGATCCAGGCGCAGTACTGGCAACGAAAAGATGTCTAAGTCTCTGGGCAACTTTGTGCGGGTGCCTTTCAAGAGATATTTGTTTCTTTCGTTTGGACGAAGTCTGACGTTCGCCCACCTTCTCAGGTCACCATCCGGGACGTGCTGAAGAAGTACGACGGAGAGGTGAGGATTCAGGAAAAAAATATTTGTCCGTCCTTTGGTCACTTTCTCGGTCACAAGACTCATTCAGCAAAAAACACAAAGCGTTCTGACTTCGGACGTATCTTGGTTGTTTCTACCAAGCTCCCTCAATGCAGGTGGTTCGTTTCTATCTCTTGAGTTCGCAGTACAGAAGGCGCATTTGCTTTGCCATTTGGCTTTTCTGACTTGTTCAATGCATCTTGTTTTGAAGGCCAATGCTCTACTCAGAAGAGGCCTTAGCAGAGGTGCCACTAACTGATTCGGCATGTAATTCTACATTATTCTACTCATTGTCATTGTCTTTTCATATTCCTCAGATAGCCAGAGCTATTGGGGTTCCAAATATGTTTGCTGTTTGGTGACGTGAATTTGTTCCTGCAAAACACGGTCAAGCGAGGCGCTTTTCACCTAGAAAGGAACCCTTGTGCCTAAAGGTCGGCAGACATGTGAGCAGGATCAACGGAGGGTGTGCATTCTATGTTCACATTCCCTCTCTATCATATTGATCCACCTCAAGGACTTCTCAAAAAGGGCCGTGCTTTCCGCCCTAGGGTTGAATTCCTCTGGAACCAACTGCCAAGGCTGCAAGATCCACCAAAAGCCTTTTTCGGCAGGTGCACGTGATCCTCCGATCCTGCGCACGGAATCGAACAGACTCTTGCAGTCTGTCATGCACGGAGACGAGGAAGCAGCCCCAGAGCAAATCTCTGAAGACCACGCCTGCCTTCCGGCCTTCCAAGGCTGCCATGGTTTCCAAGGCAAAGGCGCTCAAACACACTCCCATGCTCCAAGAAATCCTTGTCCTGGCTCTCCTCGAAAGGTGTTCTTGTTGACGACGAGCACCCCGTAGCCAAGCTGCGAGTAGATGCCTGTGTGCTTGGTCTCATTGAAGTCCTCATGCTCTGCCTCATTGGGAACGTTGGCCCAAACAGCATCGTGGTAGACCAAGATCATGAGGTCACTCCACTCTTCCCAGCCTTGAGTAGGTCACCTTCTCTTCCTTATCCTTCTGCGCCATGTGCGCCACGTGGTTGGTTGCTTTGATGTCCTCATAGGTCGGCTGCTTGTGTTTTCGTTGGGCCATTGACACGCCAGCTTGGATATTTGGCCTGGTTTGAGACACCATCCATGACAGAGCCCCACGGGTGGACTGATTATCCATCACTGCCACATCATCAGCCTTCTGTTCAGATTGGATTTGATTGTCACTCCACAGATGCTTCTTCCCAAGCGTCGATAGGGAAGACTCCGGAGAGCGCTTGTTCCGGCCTTTTCGAATAGCGGATGAGGAATGTCATCGACGTGAGTGGCCAGCATTCCTTGCCATACTATTCTCACTATCCACCAAGAGGCAGCCGTGCAAGTGGTGCTGGACGATCTTTAGCGCCCGAGTTCATTTTCCCATGTCCAAGAAAATCTGAGCCTAGTTGTTTGTCCCACCACAACTACCACAACCTCGGAGATGTAGATAGCCCAAAGACACCGTTCACAATCTCGATGAGTCCGCCAGGTTCGACGCCTTCAAGATCATCGGCAGGTCGTGCCTGACCTTGACCCCATTCAGGAGGTGGCCTCAATTTCACCTGCAGCCAGTGTCCACCCCGTCTGCACTCCTGCTCGCTGTAAGAACCTTGCTGGTGAGTTGCCCCGTCTACAGAACATCTCGGTGTCCTCCAACACACAGCCGGGCCTTTGCTTTGGCTGGGATCGAAGGATCCTCCCTGCGTTTGGCACAGTTCTTGTCGCGGTAGGAGAACCTTTACCCGCATCGCGCCCACAAGTGCCAAGTCCAACTCCTCGGCGTCCAAGCTCTCCCTGACAGGTTGTTGTACGGCATCAGAGCTTGTTTCCCTCGCAAGAGGCGAGAGTCGTATCTAGGCGTCGATCTTCCGGATGTAGCCCATGGCCTTCACGCAATCTCTGTCATCTTCACCATGAGTGTCCGCGAGTACAGCTGGAGGCGTGCTCACAAAGGAAAAATTGTCTTGACCGCCAACTTCCCCGTCGCTCATCCCCTGTATGCCAACCCTGCGTGGAGGTCCACTAAGAGTCTCCCTTGTCAGTCGCCAGGCGTTCGCCATTTTCTCCATTTTCTCTGGCCGGGTCTTGTGGCTCATTTTCCTCTTCTTCCTGCCCCTGAACACCGTCAGTGAGGTCGAGAGAAGAGGGTGTTTCGGATCCGCTACTCGCGATCGAGACGGAAGGGTCGTCGTACACGCGTTGGGCTTCCTCAACATGATAGTCAGTACTTGGTCGGGAGACATCACTGTCTGACAATGGGGGTCAACTTCATTGAGTGAGGCGCGATACTTATTAGGCGTTGCGCCTGCAGGTCTAGACTTTTAGTCCTGCTGGCCCGCCAAGTCCCAGAGCCTCGGCAGCACATGCTTTTTGTAAGGTCGTGACATGAAGGCACTGTGTCTGAGCGGCTAAGGGGACGGGGGATCAAATCTGCGAAGCCTGTGTAATGAGGTCGCCTGTTGAGCCTGAACCCCGCCGCGGCCCCACTTGGAGCCTACCACCTTCTCCATACATCATCCGTCCAGCCACGCCGAGTCTGTGACCTCTCGGAAGCATGCTGTGACCCGCCGTTCTGTTCATGCTCAACCTCTTGAGATGCGTGGCGAGCATCTTCCCCATCCAGGTCCCCAAACCTGGCGAAGGCATCGCGACCACGTCCTCCACAGTCACCTCAGAGCCACCCTCAGGCACCTCCAATAGCAACGACTTCACGAAGCCCACCAAGTAGGGCTACCCAAAGAACCCAAGAAGCCGCACGTACAGAATGCAAAACACGGTCGTGAAACGCTTTTCACCTAGAAATGGACCTTTGTGCCTAAAGGTCGGCAGACATGTGAGCAGGATCAACGGAGGGCGTGCATTCTATATTCACAGTTCCTACTTTTCCATATTCCATTCCTTTCCCATCACAGAAGAATAGCGCAATCGGGCCGAAACTGCCAGGCTCAGGACCGTCTCCTGAAGCTCTACAGCTCATTGCGAGGAGCTGGCGGGCCGGCGTCCCTGATTGGAAAGTTGTAGTTGAAGACGCAAAGAAGAAGTCAAGCATTTGTTGGCAAGGAAAACAATTTGCGTGCCTGGACCAAACCAGACCTACCCTCCACTTGTTGTGCGCCTTTTTTTGTTGATTGCTTCGTCCCTCCAAAGCAAGCTTGATCATGTTGTACTCGTTTACTGTTGTGGCTTCACTGTAGGTGTGAAAAACCTGCAGACTGCGAGCCACAGAGCTTAGTGAACGTTCAAGAACACATCGTTGGAAGGGCAAAAACAGGCGTAAATTGATTTCCCAAGCCTGAACACCCTTTTGGTGGGGTAAGGTGATGTGACAGTCTTTTGCTCCACAGCGAAAACAGCTGGTGAAACTATCAAGGCCAATCTACATGTAGGCACTGTAGGTTTGTGGCTTTCAAAGAAATCCCCGAAGATCAGATTGACAGCCGTTCGTTAAAAAAACAGCAGGGTCCATCTGAATCTATACTTCGCTGGATTTTCTCTCTTCAGTCATTCTGATTCCGTAGATCGTGTTTTTCACCTGGTGACCAACCAAACATGTTCCATTTGTGAGGCAAGCACAGCGGTTTGAGGCAGCCATGGCCAACGAGCCTTGGCTCAAGTGGATCCTCAACCCCAATCCCAGAGTGTCCAAATGGTGAAAACAGCTGAAAATATGAAATTTCATATTATAAGATCATATAAGAACATACAAGAACATTAAAGTCAACATGAAAATCAAACATGAAAAAGATACATTCTCTGCACATTCTCTGTACATGTTATTGTTGAAGTTGTTTGAAAATGCGAGGATTTTGACACGGTGAATGCAGTGGCCGTCCGGGTTTCCCAGAACGGTCACACAGCTGGTGAACTTGGGAAGAGAATGAAAAGGATTAAGAAGTTGTCTTATGCATTTTGTTTACTTGCTTACTCTTACTTAGTCGGTGCCTACTAATTAAGTAAGTGGCGACTATTTCGCACCTAGCTAGGACGGAGGATAGTTCACGCTTCTTCAAGGAAGCGTTCGCACTGATGATTTGGTTTCTAGATGTTTAGGAAACTTAAAATATCAGTCGGGAGCTGTACGAAATACTCTGTTTCAGACATTGTGGCCTGTACTTGCACTTAGCATTTTAACAGGTTCAAAACCTGTTGCAACCTGTAGGCTGCGCTTTTCGTTCTCAGTTGTTCTCTATTGAAAGGCATCGCTACTAGCTTGGAGGCCATCGCTCCTAGGGTTGAGGCCATCGCTAACTAAGCTCTATCCATCAACTAAGATTAGTTCTCCTGTTGAAGGTCACAATCCGTTTTGGGGTGCAGGTGTAACTGGGGGGGTAGGCGGTGAGGTACTAACAAGTAGCTAGTAGGGGGTAGCGTAGCTTATTCATTTGGTTCCTAGATTTGGGGGAACTTAAGATTATGAGTATGAGTCATTCATGACTCCACTCTATTCCACTTCCAGTTGTGCTTCTCAAGTATGTTTGAACTAATTGTCATGGCTATTTTGGTGATTGTTTTGGAGTTCGAGATTCGGATGTTTGTTGGTGTGATATGTTTGCATGTTTACTTCATTTTGTTTTTTTCTTTGGACTTGCTCTGTTTTTTTGCTTTGCGCTTGTATGTTCGAGTTCTGGCTGTTACGCTGCTTATGGGTTAATTTATGCTGATATGTACTCGAGAGTACTCGTGTTACATGGTTTGCCTTCGCGAGTAATCCATAGTCTCAGATCTTGGCTTTGTGCATGTTTTTTCCGGAGACCCTTCGTATTTGGGCACGTTCAATTTGGTTTGTCGTCTATTTGCGCGCTCTCCGAGTACTCTCTCAATGCTGGCACTTTGTCACGCTTGGCTTTGGGAAGTTTCATCAGGATGTTTGTGCATGGATGTTTGTAGGTACGCTGCTTGTTGTAGATAAGTGCTGCGCATGCCAGACTGTATAGCTATGGTAGCATTTGCCGTTCTGTTTTTGTGCAAAGTCGCTGGGCGGTTTGCTTCCGCTTTTGTTTGAACATGTCGCAGTTTGCTCTCTGAGGTACGGTCCTAATAGCTTCTTGTTCCTAGTAGTAAGGCCAGGGGCCACTAGTAGCGCCCTTGCTCCTAGTAGCGATGCCAGGAGGCCCCAGTAGCGTCCTTGCT